AATATAAAATAATATTAATAACAATAATTTGTGTAAGAATGAGTGATAAATACCTGCAAAAAGCTTTATTATACTAAATATAAAATAATATTAATAACAATAATTTGTGTAAGAATGAGTGATAAATACCTGCAAAAAGCTTTATTATACTAAATATAAAATTTTTAATTATATATATTTTGGCATCACCTTTAATACAATACAGTCACATAAAAACGAAGTAAACTACAAACTTAAAAGAATAACAGTTGTTAACACTTACTGTGCATATGCGTTCCAAGCCCTGTGTAAAGAGATCGCAGTTTCTTGGTTTTTCACAAACTGCTGCATTACAACCTGTGTTGAGACTTTAAAAAATTTCACCGATACACCCAACAATATTTTGTCTTTTTCTGAGATATGGGGATAGCATTTCAGGTCTTTGTCGGTGCTGTTGGTTTTTAATACTTTCCAAAGAACATAGCGTGAGAAAGCTAGATAAAGGTCACAGAAGCGATCACCTCCAGGAGATAAGAATAGTGAAGGTCCAAACCTCAGAAAGTTGGCTTCTGAATCCTCCTTAAAATTTAGATAAATAATATATGATATTATTGGTGTGTTACAACTTCTTTTATAAGTGGTTCTTACATAAAGAAGAAGGAAAAAAAAGAAGATCTGAAATGCTAATAGGATTCAGTTGCATTTCCAATATCTTATTCACACACATTATTTTTGGATACAAAAGCAGGTTGTTCTATGAAAGAGAAATTAATTTTCATATCAAAAACACAAAGAAAGTATTTTTAACTAATTAATTATATATACATTTATTTACACAGACCTGTCATTTTAAATTTTCAGATGGTACGTTATAATCACTGGTGTTAGTAATTACTCTAACATTACTACACACACGTACACAATTCTTAATCTTACGTAAAAACAAAAAGGGCAAATCAAACATACCCGATTTATTTTAGTCAACCAGTTATAACAAGCCTTTCTAAACTCTTGTTCCTGTTTCTTGTCAAATGCTGGCCAACAAGTTCTGAAGGAGTTAGGATGATTAGTATTAAAATAAAATTTAGATAAAGTTAAAAATAAACTACATAGTAGCTTACTTTACAAAAATCAGATTTTCTGATATTGCTTAATAAGAACTGGCTGAATTACTTTTGGTTCTTGAGGATTGATATGGGGGAGTAGAGTGTAAGGGTACATATACAAGGTTTGGTGACAATTGGTTCAGTGGTTCATACTGAAATAATGGTTTAAAAGTGGTAGCATAGTTGATATGCAGCTGCTAATGTAATTCACCCCAAAAGATTGCTGATCAAAGAAACTTTTTACCACTTTTGTAGGCTTAGTTTCTTGAATTAATATTTAATTTTTGAATTAATACTGCTTTCATATTTTTAGCTAAAATACTGCAACTGAATTAGATGTATAAAGTTTATTACTTTTAATAAAAGTTTGCACATAATCTTTCTTCTGTAATATTTTATGTTACATACATTAACTTCAAATTCATGTAGAACTTTTGACAAAAAGAAAAGAAAGAAGAGAGACAGAAAATGAAGTATTCCCTGTAAAATGATGCCATGATTGATCAGAATTAGTTTCTTATTTATTTATTTGAGGCTAACATAATTACTCAAAATAACTACAAAAAACACCATACATCAGTAAGTGATAAAGACAAACTTAAACACACAACAAACTTCAGCAAGAGTGACAAGTGTTAAATGTTTATGTAAATATATTTAATTATTAAAACAAAACAGACACATCTGAAGTAGAACAGAATCTTGTGACACCAATTTACTGAAGAAGCTAGCCAATAACACAATCTATGTGTAATGAAATTATTTAAACCATGCACAAGTAACACCCCTATAAAACAAAAGGCAGAAAATAATTCATATAAAGTCATCATTAACATGAAACATCTTGCAACAATAGGCAGAAAATAATTCACATAATGTCATCATTAACATGAAACAATTTCCAACAACAGACAGTAAAACATCATCTAATGCAGAATATCTTGCAGAGGCAACATGTGTTGATGAACAAGGTGTGAATTTGACTGCAATTTAAATTAACATTTTTTAGGGTTAGTATAATCTCCATAACTATGTCATACTTGCAACAAGACGTTCAAGTGTTTGATATTTATTTTAGAGTTAAGTATGGTAAATGGGTTGGCCTGAACGGTTCAACAGATCACTTGTTACCCTTATGTTGTTTGTGTATAATTGTAGGCAGCACCTGTACAGAAAAGCTATTCAAGCCACATACACACACTATATACTACTCAGAATATACATCGCACTAGAGATTGTACGTTTGCAAATACTTAAATTTTTTATTGCTAAATCTAAAGTATGACATCACAAGTAACTGTTCAAACCCCAGTAGAGAAAACAGTTATTTTGTTGAAGTAATTCATTATCATACTGAATGTGATAAAACTGAATAATACAATGTTTAGAATGAAGGTAATAGGATCTCTAGCACTTCAAAATTATCAAATAAATTAGCCAGTTAGTTTTAGGTGTGAATGAAGGTAGTAAGATCTCTAGCACTTCAAAATTATCAAATAAATTAGCCTGTTAGTTTTATTAGTGAATGAAGGTAATAAGATCTCTAGCACTTCAAAATTATCAAATAAATTAGCCAGTTAGTTTTAGGTGTGAACTTCCCATCATCGAATAGAAAGAGAAATGATGGCATACAGTTAGTTTAAACTATTTTAAATTTATTTACAAGAAAAACCAACAAAATATAAATTCAATAATTGTACCTTACCTGAAAACATCTTTGCTGGTCTGTGGATCAAGTTTAGTGAACAAGAAATGAGATACCACTTGGAAAGCACGCATGTTTGGAAGTTGAAACATGTCCCTGTTGTGTAAAATACACGTGTGGAAAAAACAACAACAAAAAACACTTTAAAGAAGTGAAAATTATGTATTTTTCTAACTAGTGACGTAATAGTTTGAAGATAGGCAATGATGTTACAGCTAAAAGTACATCTGAACCACATACGTTTTACATATTAGATTCAGTGTACATAAGATAGCTATGGCAATATTAATACTAAACACTTTAACCTTGGGATAGAGGTGCAACGTCTGCATTTCATAACCAGATATTGTAACTTAAAAATGTTTTCAGTAGAAGCTTGTGCACATCATATTAAAATGTCAAAATGGCCTGTAAGATTAGACATGACCACACCTCAGTGTCAACATAACCTGTAAGATTAGACATGACCACACCTCAGTGTCAACATAACCTGTAAGATTAGACATGACCACACCTCAGTTTCAACATAACCTGTTAAATCAGACATGACATATTAAATGTTTTGATAAGTTACAGAAGCAAATAAACAAACTGTGCTGACTAAAATGGAAAGTAACATGTTGTTAAAACACTATAGTGTAGTGAGGGTTAAAACAGTGGTTCCCAATCCATGAGACAGTTTCAGGGTGGAGGGGTTGGAGGCTCTATACTCTTTAGAACTTCCTCTACACTGAACAATGCAATATTTTAAACAAGAATATTGTTTAATACAATATATATGACAATGTATGTACTTGAGATTTTTCTTCAAAGAAAAAATTGCAGTAACAATAAGATATATCCAAGTTTATATTTGAATTTATATTAAATCATTAGGTGGGGTCAGACTGGATATTTAAAATCTTGGGGGGGGGGGGTACCCCAAGCTAAAATGCACGGGAACCTCTAGTATAAAACATCTAGGGTGACATTAGTAAAGTTAGATACAGTATGAACACTTCATCTTATATATACCTCGATCAGTTTTTGAACCATTTTTCAAACATTACTCAAACAACTGAATAATGTTGTTGACTAATGTACTGAAAGTCTCATATAATAAAATATAAACATATATATAGTACTGAATAATCAACATTGTACATAAAGAAAAATTGATGGCAAGCTATTATACAATAAATTTGTTACTGAAGCCTAGTGTTTGAATTTAACCCCTTACTTACTAAAGGAACATACTGGTACACCCATTAATTCTATTCACAGGGACCATATGGACACATTTCTAAACTAAAGCCATTGATACATGATTTGTAGAGCCTTTCTTAAATAAAATATACAATAAACCAATCATATAGATATAAGTATTCTTCAAACAAATTCACAGATTTTCCCCATACCCTAAATCAAGGTTCCTTAAATTCTTTCTTGATTTTTTTTCACCATGTACAACTGGATGACAGCAGCATGGTTTTAATGACAAAAGTCATTAGTCAATATACAGTTTCTTTTTTTATATAATTTTGTTCTATTTTCCCGTTTTGCTCTTTTTCCATGACCTCAAATCCTACCTGGATTTTCAAAATCTCTAAATTAGTACTAAATATTTACACTAAAAATCACATAAAAATATTGATATTTCATAAAATTTCTTTATTTTCTCTGGTTACTGGTAATCCAAAATGTCAGTTTGTGAAAGATTATACAGCTCAGACAAACCAACTAATAATGAATGTTTTATTCTAATATATTTACATATTCATAATACCTGAAATAAATAAGAATTCAAAGCTGGTGTTCGAGATCTTTCGCATACTCGTGTGTATGAAATTATAGAGATTTCTCAGTTCAACCAGTTCACATCTACATACATTGAATACTAAAAATTTATAGAAATATTTACTGTAAAGCAATTCTACCTTTTAAAACTGATCTTATGTTTCTTTTCCATTCCAACAGGATCAAATCCAAGTAAAAGTAGGTTGGTAAAGAAGACTTGATTTTGACTGGAACTTGTCACGTCCATAGTACCTACTTATAAAAATGAAGAGACATAAATTAATTAATCAATCAATCATTGATTATCAGTTTATAAACTTGTAAGTATTTCAAAGTATAGGAGGTATAATGCTGAGATAACAAAAGTATTCTCAAATTGGTTATTGTTCTTACACTTTGGCTAAGTTCAACCATTATGTATCTATTACTTATCATTTGAAAGTCTTTTTTACACTTTCGAGTGACTAAAAAAAAGTAAGTTCTAGAATGTTATTATTTTTGTTAATAAAAAACACAAATTTAAACTATGGATTCATATAATGAAAGATTATAAAATCAGAAGGACAAAAACATGTATATAATATATGGAAGTTGTTTTGTACAACAAATGGAAAACATTAACAGATTCTTTAGACAACATCTACCTTTACAGTTCAGTTTGTGAAGTTATTATTCTTTATTTCAAACCATGTGACCAAAAAAAACTGGTCTAATATTTAGTTTTAGATATGCTTTAAAAGACTTTCACTACTTTAAGAAATTAACATGGCTTCAGTGGACATTGAATTATTTTTTTAAACTATTGTTGTGATTATGCCTTAAATGTATTTATTTAATAAACTTCAGATGATTACAGTAATTTCATGTGTGGAATTAAAACACTTAAGTATTTAAAGCTATTTTAGATTGGCTTCATACATATAGATCAAATTTTGTAGTGTTTAAATATAAGTAAACTGATTTAAATTGTTCAAGTTACTAAACTTCTCATACTTAATATTATAAAAAGGAATCAAAGTTACAGAAATGTTTAACACAAAACCTATGGACAACAAGGAACTATTTGGTCCTTCAAGCTACTATCCTTTTCAGGATGATAAGACACAAGTTTAAGATTTGGAAAAGCTAGACTAGGCTCCAGTTATGACAATTTTATTTTCCTAAAAGGATGACTGATTTATGGAATGAATTGTTATCATCAACAGGGTTTTAGATTGTGTATTATGACAGTCCTTTCCAACCTTAATTCATCCTGGTAATTTTTCTCTTAACCTTCTTTAACAATCTAACATTACTTCTTACATAAGGTGACTACCATCCCAAATGACCTCCTCTGTCTTACGTTCAATATTTGTATTGGAAACAAGGTAACATTTCTTGACATTTTTACTAGAAAGGCTCAGGGAAATTTTTTGAAGTGAATTTTTTATGATTCTCAGAGGTTTGCAATCTATAAATTCAGGTTTTTTCATAAAAATCTGAAGGTAGATAGAATAGAGAATACAAGTTAAATTATAGGAAACAGAGACAACTACAGTTAACACAGTGTTATTCTTCTAATAGTGATGAGCCTACAGAATAGTTTGTTTTAACTGTAATACTAATAGGAGCCGCAGCATTGGAGGAGTATAAAAGGTGAGTAGATAACTAGTCAATGGACTAAAGGCATCCTATCCTGTGGAAATGAAACTATAATAAAATTATGTTTCTTTAATTTGTGGGTAGAATTTTATGGTTAATATTTAAATATTCATAACTTTTCTTCGTTGGTGTGTTGTTTTCTTAAACATCAGTAGGTATTCTGCTTTAAATTTAATAATAGTAACTTATAAATGTATAGAACTTAGAAGGAAGTGCATTTGAGTAGCCTAACTATAACATTTACATTAATTAATTAACTAGACTAATACGTTAACATCTATTAAATTGGTACTTTATTTACTACTACTTGTACAATTAGTGAATCATCAGCTCATCAAATTTCAAGTTTTAACCATATGAATATGATGACTGGAAATGAAACTTAAATAAACTCTAACTTAAGACTAAGTTGAAGTTTACAAGTTTAACTGAGTTATTGAGAAACTCTTACCTTCTAAGTTCCTGTTTCAAGTATTTGTCTAACGTTAGAACTTAGACTTTAAGAGTTAGATGGTCTAATTTTTTTATAAGATACTGCCTATTAGTATCAATCAATATTAAACTCACATATTTTACCTTGATTAGACGAAAGCGGTTGAAAATATCTAACTTTCAAAATATAAAAACAATATATAACAAGCGTGCCATTAATACCATAGTGTAATTATACTTGAATTTGAATAGTTTCTTCCTACACATTCTATTCTAATGAAAGAAACCGCCAACTTCATACTCTCGAACTCAACATAATGTTATAGATGGCGCCCTATAAAGATTATTCTTTACCATTAATCTTCTCTTGTAATGTATCTCTGTCTCTGCCATGCCCATCTAGGGCGTTGGTGAGCATGGTCTTCCAATGATCCATGTTGCTCTTATCATTTCTATAGTACTTATAATATATAGCATATAGTTTTATATTCATATTTACCAGAAAAAGCCCACTTATTTTCTTCACGATCTCCGTATATGACTTATAGCAAAGCCATATCGGGATTTCTGCTGTGTCCACCGAGGGGAATCGAACCCCTGATTTTAGCATTGTAAATCCGAAGACTTACCGCTGTACCACAGGGAGATTGAAAAATGAAAAACACAACCCTTTCTTTTTCATTCAGCATATGAATATAAATTTACATGTTTTTTATTCACTTCACAATTTCACACTATTTATTACACTTAATTTTCAATTCTAATAAAACACACCAGGTTTGTTAGCTGCTTTACTTAAAATCTCTAGATACCTACCTGTAGCTAAATATTGAAAAATGACGCTACAACATTAAAAGAGGATGCCTAAAGCAACTGGGTTAATCAGGGGCTACTAATTTTAATGAGGCTTAGCAATTCACGTTTCTAATTTATCACCTTCGAAATAAGGGACGCCTAGCAAATATAACCCTGAAGTAGCTTTGCGCTAAATTCAACAAAACAGACAAACGACTGTACATAAGATACTAGCGGCGAACTTTATTCTTTTTAATAAAATCAATAAATCCTTATATGTTTTATATGCTATTTAATAACAAATTTTTACTTGACTTATTTATTAATTAAATAATAAAATGAATCTAACTATATTTTATACGACGCTCAATAAACATTTAAATATACCTTATAAATTCTAGCGAGTAACGAATTTGTTCTGTTGTTTGGATAAGGGTGGTACAAGTTATAACCATGTTAATGGTTTCGTAATTTTAGCGAGTTATCACATAAATTAAATAAACCTGGTACTATAAGTGCATTAGCAGATCTGTGTTATTAAAAACCCCCCCCCCCCACAAAAACAACAAACAACTGTTCACAAGAAAAAAAAAAAGGATTGGACAAAATAATAATAAAAAACATTTCACATTAAGCATGTCACTACTAGTGTTTAGTTTCAATAAAATATATTATTGCTCGCATACGATGTAAACACAAGGTTCCAAGTCAAATAATAAAACGCAAATCTTCTAATAAGTTTAGCACAAACTTCTAATTACTTTTATAGGTGGTCTAATCCATTGGCTATCTTTTATGATATTGATTATTATTATTACTGTTATATACAAATATTCACATGCTGGAAATAAATGTAATTCTCCCCAAATAATGAAATACTTAAACTTACAATAATCACGTTATTATTGTTTTTATCAAAGCATGCAAAGATGACATCGTACTGACATATACAATCACGCACACACACACACATATATATATTTGACAGATAGAAAAGCGCCATCACGCGGTAGTCCTTGGAAATTGAAAAGGCAATGAGCAATGTTTTGGATTGGAGTGATTTGATGGTTGTAAGAATGCTGAGAAGATAATTAAACTTTGTAAGCAAATATCATTCATTATGGCAAATCCAAGGAAGTTTAGTGAAAAAATAGCGCTTCACAATCAAAAACAAGCAGAGGAGACCGCTGCTTTTGAGCAAGTGATGCGTGAAGTGATGGGAGCTACGAGGGTGAGTTTTTATTTAGCTAGTATGCTGCATAGATGAACTCAGTGAAACGTTCTTAACGCCTTAGTTAGGGTTAAGAACTTAGGCTTAACGTAATAAACTTAAGGCCTAAATTAATTATATTAATCACAGGGTTGATGGTGAAGTTAAGCCTAACCATATAACTCATAAGTTGATTACGACTCTTTTAAGGCAACTTAAACTGTGACTTGCATGTTTTCTAATGAAAAAGGAAAAAAAAAGCGTAATTATAGTGTTTTGATGTTGGGTTTATACTTATAAGTTATAGTCTACAGTACAGGTGCTACACACTAACAGTAACACAGACTCGGTGAGTCAGTAACTAATAGTCATAGTAACGACAGTAACAGTATGGATGAGATTTTGTGATTTTAACTTTTAAGACTTCTTGATTAACACAGGTGTAATACTAATAGTACTATAGTACATAATATGTTTTCAGCCACTGTTATACTTCTATAACTTTTAACCCTTGTGCAATACAGTTTTATTTTTTTATGTAACAAAATGTAATATTTACAAACACTTCATTATAATAAATGTTACACTAGCCTAGGAATTAGACTTGATAAACAAGAAAGAGTGTTTGGTATAGATATTTGTATGTATATAAATATTTAAGATATTAGTTACCATCACAGTGTTAACAATCATATAATCCTGGTTTAAACTAAAATTTAAAATAGTTCCATTGTGCCCAAAACTAAATTACTGTACATAGAAAAATGTTTTATCAGTTTTCTTTTTTTAACTGTTATTAGAAAAAAAGGTAACATTTGTTTTGTATATAGTATAACACTCCAAATTACTAGTGAAAGAGCAATTAAAGTTTGATATACATTTTTTAATATTTCCTAGTTAATTCTATTGATCACATTTTCTTTTATGTTTCTTGTACTGTAAATTCAGAATATAAAACATTTAAGCTGAGAAGTTAAACAAAAATAGTATATTCATGTATATAGTGTTAATAAGATCCTTACCCTAACTTGGATGTGTAGTGACATAAATAAAATGGTTAAAAGTTGTATTTCCCCAACTTAATCCAATTCCCCTTGAAATATTTTTGTAGTTTCCTGATATAAATAGCATCTCCACTATGATATCTGTTCTACCCAGACTGGCCTAGAGGGCCTCATCGGTACTGGATATAGCAGATATAATGTAATTGATATTACACACATTTTTTTACTTCCACCTGGAAGCTCTTATTAACCATTTTGCAATGGGAGCCCCTTTAAACACTTTTCTGCACAAGTCACTGTGTTACATTAACAATTTAATTAAGCTCCTTTACTAACAGTATATGTGAATTAAATTAATATTATAATATATGTTATGAATCAAAGTTTTATTTTATCAAAGTTTCAAATCCTTTATTTCAAAATAAACCTTTAAAAAACAACTTAAAACTTCAGGTGTATTGTCATATGACTAACAAGCAATGAAAATTCTCTACTTTGGCTCTCTGTATCTTCAATAATACAATGGTAGTTGAGTAGAGGTACATCTAGACAATAAGATGCTTACATAACCTTTTGACTTCTTCATTTCAAAGTTATTTGAATGAATACAGTTGAAACAAATAATCAGTTTTTTTTCAATCCCCGATTGCTGTCATGCCCACCTTCAACAGATTTGTTTGAGCTATAAAGCCTACATGTAGATGTTACATACACATGTGTATAGTCATTAGAAATAGGTCATTTTACACTATAATCTGAAAATGGTTAGTTTTTAATTGGAACAGAGTTGTCATCATGGAGTACATATAATTGATTGTATTGTTATAGTTGGCTGCTTGATCGACTATAGCACTTACGGTTGTTTTTTACCTAGATATGTTATAGTTAGAGATATGGTTTAAATTGTATTTAGGTCTTACTATTATATTTTATTTAATTATTTATTAGTTATGTTTTAAAATGTATAATTAAAAGGTTTAAATGTACTTCATACTTTGTGTTAGTTTACGATATTACGCGTTGAACAACAATTTTGCTGAAGAGTTGTGCATATCTCCCAAAGAAACTGTAATATGCCTTGAGGGCACTGTCGACTTGTATCGAGATTAATATTAAGTGGTAAAGGACAAAAAAGGAAAATAAAACATTAAAAATTAACTATATGTGAAATGGGAAAAGACCTGAAATTATGAAGTTAATAAAAGGAAAATTTTATTTTTAATTTTCTCTACCATGTCACTAACTCTAGCTATTATCATCAATGTACAATGCAATGAAATAATTAAAATTAGGAAATAGAAAAAATACATACCTTTTGATTTTTTAATATCTTCAAATATATAAACATTTACCTTAAAAACTTTTGATATCTTTTTAGGAGGTTCTAGAGATTATGAAAATAAAATATGAAAACTATAAGATGAAGTTAAGTATTTTTATACTTAAAATGAAAAACTCGAACTATCTGAGCAGTTTGAGTACAAATAACTACTATAAACAAATAACATTTTTATTAGAAAGATGTAATTAAAATAATGCCATTCTTTGTGTACAAAATACTTGTAAACTTTAACAAAATCTTACAAAGTTTTGTGAGGAACACACAGAGTTACCACATGTTATTTGTATATATGTTTTTCCCCAGTCTAAGTGATACAAAATGTATCAGCCCATGCTGAAAGGGTTAATAATTACTCATGTAGTCTGCTTATGTGGCAATTCTTTTGACTTATAAGCAGGTTAATGAAAGTAAGGTAAAGATATAATGATAATAAACAACTTGTTAAATAAATAAATAATACAATCTCTACCTTTATTCTGTTATGTAGTGACATAATATTGATGAAAATTATACAGTAGCTCTTAATCCATTTCATGTGTTGTTGTCATTTATTTGTATAAATATCATCTCAATCACTATCTTGTTTATTGTAACCTACTTGGCCTGAAGAGCCCTGATATTAGGTGAAAGGCCTTGTTGGCACCAGATGTAGTAGGTATAGTTTGGTTTATGTATTATTATTATACAGTATTCTTTACTTCTATTCAGAAGTTCTTATATTTGTTGACTAAGTTTAGGAAGTGGTAAATGAAATATAAAAAAACAAACAAAGTATATGAATATCACAGATACAGCTACTACAAAATTCACTGGTATTTAAGAACCAGCAAGGAGGCAGAAAATCGTTCATCTTATTGAAGATAATATTTCACTGACAACTTGAAATCATCATCGATAAGGGAAAATTTCAAACATAATACTGCTCTTGTGTGTGGTTGCAAGTTTATAAAGCTTCAGAATGCATCTGAAGAACCTGTGATTCAGATGATAACAAAAGGTCAATTGGTTTTATTTCATAATGCACCAAAATAACCAACCAACAGCATATATCATATCATCAGGAAACCATTCCATGAGTTCATAATAACATGATGTGAACTGGAGACCATTTATTTGGATGTTTCTAAAACTTATGCTTACTTCCTTAATATTCAAGTTACTGTTTCAACTGTCATTCCATCAGTCTAACAAAACAAGAAGGCAATGAACAGTAGCTTTAAATGTTTTGTTAGACTGTGAAGTAGGTATGCCATGGTTTGATTGTTAGATTGTCTTCCAGTCATCGAAATACACAACAAAAGCATCAGATCCAAAACTAAATCTAACCTAGGCAGTGATAATTATATCTAACCTAGGCAGTGATAATTATATCTAACCTAGGCAGTGGTAATCATACTAAGAAAACCAAAAACAGGATTTGCATGGGTCATAGAAATCTTAAAGTCTTTGGAAATCATGGAAACTCAAGGAAAATAACTGTATTTTTAAGTTATTAAGATGGCACAATGGTAATCAAAGTATGGTTATTCTTTAAGGTAATCTTGATACATGTAATTTCCTATTTTTTAATGTGACCTTTGATTTACAATCCTGTTTAGGTGAAAGTTGAGGAATGTTTTAACACAACGTTTAACTGGTTCCATGCATTTTCATATGTGCAGTTATGCTTTAAGTGTTGTTTTACTTGTCTAGTCAGTATTAATTAGAGTTACCATTTAAAAAAGTAATGCCCTTTTATGATTGTTCAACGTGACTGTATTTTATTGAAATACTTGTTTCTTTACAGATTGTTAACTTTAGGACAGGTTGAAACATTATTTTTAATTAAGAAATTTATTCATTTATTTATTTTGATGTTTGAGTTTATTCTTTGAATTTTCTTTGTTTGTTACTTTATTACTTCTTGTTTTCTTTATGTTGTCTCTTATGTACAGAGCTTTTCTTTGTTGTTATGAATGTCAAAATGATTGAAATGTTAGTGATTCAGAGTAGACATTTAGAAAGCAACTTATAAGTTTAATGTAACGCCAATAAAAGTTTTGCTTTGTTCACGACAAAACTGAGATAATATGAATGTGTACTAATCTCTATAGAAATGAATTGCATTGTTTTTCTAAAGAGTTTCATTGTTTTCAGAATGCTCAACCACAGTATCTACACCTCAGTCCTACTCTTGGCTCTTACAGAGGTGGGTCTCTTCCAAATGTTAACCAGATTGGAAACAACAGCATTGATCTTCAGGTGAGCAGGCAACATTTAATTTCATGGGTATATATATTATTATTGTTAGACATATTTGTCTGATAGATGGAATATTACCAATGCTGTTGGGTGCTATGGCCACAGACATTTTCACTTTAAAGTGATATCATGGCATGATCATTTATTTGTTGATGCTTACGTCCATAATACAAATGTCATATTGTTCCACACACAGATATATATATATATATATAAATGTATGTAAAATTACAATTGTCTTAAAGTATTGGCAAAATTGTATGTTTCTTTTTAAGTTTTAAAGTGTACTTTCATTGAAAAAGATTGAATTATTGATTTCTTTTTGAGAAGTTTGATTCTATGAACAATTATCTTTTGTTACCAATTCAAGTATTCACAGAAAAGAAACTCATTTAAAAATAAAAGTGTTATTTTTTAGTGTTCTGCTGTTTTTGAGTGTAAAACAAAATGACAGTATTTTAGAACACATAAAATTAGTTTTTATGTGTTATTTTTAGTAATACGTGGAAACTTAAAAACCAGAAATTTCATTTTGCTACATTAAAAAAATTAAACATTAAAAAATTACAACCTATTGGCTACTCTGAATTTAATAATACAACTAAATATTTGTACACTTTACTGAATGTCATATTTTAGATTAAATTTAGAATATATCTGATTGAAAATAATTAGAATCTTTTATCCAACACACAATTTGTTGTAAACTATAAGCTCCATAAGAGCTCACTCTGAACATACAGTTTTAATCTATACTTACATAACAGTTCCTATGTTTTAAAATACTTACCTTATTTTTAACTGCCAAAGAAGTTCAGCTTGAAGAACCTGTTCAAGCTACTGACCAAACACTTATCAGTGTTTCATACTTAATTCCTCAAAATTTTATTGAAAAAGAATTTCTACATGTATACCTACCTTTTAAAACTGTTTTCTAGGGTAACATTAACTGTGATATTATTATAACATGTTTGTATTTGGTTTTTGTAGAGTGCTCTCACCAATCTTGAGGACATGAAGCAAGGAAAAGATCATGCTGTATCTGATAGAATACACAGAGAGCGAGGCCGGCAGATATCTCCTCATCGGTCAAGGCAGTTTCCTTTTGAGAAGCATGTATCCTTTGTTGCTGCATAAGTAATTCAGTTTAAAAATTGGGAACATTATTGAAAGAAAGATTGCATTAGTATATTTATCATTTTTATTAAGTTAAAGTTTAATGGTCAAGACAACACTTACACTTGTTTTGTCACATTATTAGGTTATAGTTTAATGATTGAGACAACACTTACACTTGTTTTGTCACATAATTAGGTTATAGTTTATTGGTCAAGACAACACTAAGACTTGTCACATTATTAGGTTATAGTTTAATGGTCAAGACAACACTAAGACTTGTCACATAATTAGGTTATAGTTTATTGGTTGAGACAACACTAAGACTTGTCACATAATTAGGTTATAGTTTATTGGTTGAGACAACACTAAGACTTGTCACATAATTAGGTTATAGTTTAATGGTCAAGACAACACTAAGACTTGTCACATAATTAGGTTATAGTTTAATGGTCAAGACAACACTTACACTTGTTTTGTCACATAATTAGGTTATTGTTTATTGGTCAAGACAACACTAAGACTTGTCACATTATTAGGTTATAGTTTAATGGTCAAGACAACACTTACACTTGTTTTGTCACATAATTAGGTTATAGTTTAATGGTCAAGACAACACTAAGACTTGTCACATAATTAGGTTATAGTTTATTGGTCAAGACAACACTAAGACTTGTCACATTATTAGGTTATAGTTTATTGGTCAAGACAACACTTACACTTGTTTTGTCACATAATTAGGTTATAGTTTATTGGTCAAGACAACACTTACACTTGTTTTGTCACCATCTATGGTAAACACACACATCATGTGTTAGTGCTCCTGTTTTAATGGCCATTGGCATCCATTATTGTTTTTGAGAATGATTTTTACAGCCTCTGTCAGTAAATTAAATGATGTCTGCTATATTTTTCATGTCACAGGAGAGATTTAGGAAAAATGAGAACAGTACAATATTATTCATTTATTAGGTATCACATCTAGAGCTGGGCAATTAGTGGAATTTGATAATCAGTTAATTGTTGAGCTCATTAATTGGTTACATTTAACTAATTGATTACTCTTTTGAGTTGGCTTATAGAAAATAAAAATTATACCTGTGGTAGGCAAAGCACAGGGAGCCCTTTGTGTAGCTTTGTGTTTAACAACATACAAATATAATGGCAATATTTCAGTTACTTGGATAGTTAAAAATAACCACAAATAGTAATAATCCAAAACCATAACTTTGATTATTTTCTTGAGTCATAATAATTCTTAATGACAATATTTCAATTCATGGGTAGCTTGAACATTTGGAAACAGTAATAATTAGAAACTCCAATTTCAATTAATTGATTATTTTATGTGATATTAATTTCTTTATTTCTAATATCGACTGCTGGATAGTTGGAATAATTAGACAGTAATGAGCAGAAAGTTAGTTGGTTGTTTTCATGACATTAATAATTTCTATTAATCATTTATTTTACATCGATCAATTGAATTAACTCCCCAGCTCTAGTCACATCCTGTTGAAGATTTTCTCCTTGTGACAGAACTGTAACTGTGAGCCTGTGACTCGCAATCTGTTGGTCGCAGGTTCGAATCCCCATCCCACGAAACATGCTTGTCCTTTCGGCCATGGGGGCATTATAATATGACGGTCAATCCCACTATTCGTTGGTAAAAGAGTAGCCGAAGAGTTTGTGATGGGTGGTGATGACTAGCTGCCTTCCCTCTAGTCTTACACTGCAAAATTAGGGACGGCTAGCGCAGATAAGCCCTCGTGTAGCTTTGCACAAAATTCAAAAACAAACCAAATTGTCTCCAGTGACCCTGTTGTTAGACATGAGCCCCATGCTTTGCTTGGTCTCCAGTGACCCTGTTGTTAGACATGAGCCCCATGCTTTGTTTGGTCTCCAGTGACCCTGTTGTTAGACATGAGCCTCATGCTTTGCTTGGTCTCCAGTGACCCTGTTGTTAAACATGAGCCCCATGCTTTGCTTGGTCTCCAGTGACCCTGTTGTTAGACATGAGTCCCATGCTTTGTTTGGTCTCCAGTGACCCTGTTGTTAGACATGAACCCCATGCTTTGCTTGGCCTCTCAATTGGCCTAGTTGTCTGACATGTATGAACTTGACTTTTGTAGGTTATATTTTATATAGTTCAGCTCAATTGGAAACAGTATATTGAAATAATAAAAAAAAAAGTGATAATATTTTATCAGTTTAAAATAATGGATGTAGTAACTGAAACTTTTAAAATTATTTGCTGCATACCTGTCCTATATAATATTCAAACCTCTTAGAAAGTACAACAGGAAAAAAAAATGATGCTAACAGCCTCCTGTGGGCTGAATTACAGCCCTTATCCATTTTTCAAACACAAAGCAGTGACGTATCATTTTCTTTTCATGAAACAAGGTACATTCTTTTCCAGTAAGTATCATTAAAATACAATGTGTTTTAAGTGTAGTGCAAGAATCCTGACCTGACAGGGTGGGTACATTCTTTTCCAGTAAATATCATTAAAATACAATGTGTTTTAAGTGTAGTGCAAGAATCCTCCTGACCTGACAGGGTGGGTACATTCTTTTCCAGTAAATATCATTAAAATACAATGTGTTTTAAGTGTAGTGCAAGAATCCTCCTGACCTGACAGGGTGG